GACACCGCCTGCAGGCCTTGGCAGAAGCTGGGCCCCATCACAGAGGTAGACTGCAGGACCTCCAGAGGCCTAACGAAGATTTCAGAGTAAGACAGAAACTCAGGGGCTTCTCGGGTGTCATTAGTCAACGTAAATGATGCCACTAACATGCAAAGGGTGTTGACAATATGTGGACGTGTGGAGGGACTGTGTAGAAACAACAAGGCAGGATGTCGGCTGCAAGAGGCCAGGGGAGCTGTGCACAGAGGGTGCTGGCAGGCAGAGGGCAGGGGACAGGGTCTCGGGGGGTGGAGGGCTTTGCTGGTCACCTCTGGGCCAGGTGTAGGGCCGGCAGGAAGGGGCAGCGGCTGCGGGCCTCAGCAGGACACATGGAGGTCCGGCTTCCAGCCAGCTGCCCACCAGCCTGACGGGTCCCAAGTGAGGGTCATGTCCCCCGGGCCTCCATGACCTGCACTTTCACCTGGAGGTCAGTGGCGCTGAGCGGCACGGGGGCTCACAGCAGCTCCTGCTCGGCACGCCGGTCCACACCCGGGGCCCAGGGAGCAGGCAACAGGGAGGGAGTTTAGAGGCCGCCCCTTCCCCAGCACCTTGCTGCCCTCAGGGAGGGCGGGAGGAAAGGATCCCTCCGTTTCCTGAGCCCACCTGGCTGGGCACTGGGTGTAGGGCAGGACGGCATCCCCAAGGCCTGGGAGTCAGGGACAGTGGGAACCGTGTGAGGTGTCTGGGCCCCTCCTCAGTGCTGGGCTCCGCAGCTCACAGAGGCGTCCCGAGGCCCCATTCTCGGATGTCCAGGCAGAGTGAAGGACAGCAGGTCCCACGCCACAGGGCCAGCCGGCCTCAACCCCAGCCAGCATCCCAAGGGCCAAGCCCGGCCCGGGGGCTCCCGTGGTTCAAGGGAAGCCAGAAATCAGGATTTTTATGTGAAATACACAGATGTCGAAATGTTAGCCCCAAATTAGAGGCAAACAAAAAGTCATCATTGAGGAGGAGGACAACAGTGTCCAGTCACCAGTTCACAGCTCTGGGCTCAGGAAGGATGGCTGTCCAGGGGAGGGAGGGCTCAGACAGTGAAGCGAGGACAGTGCTCAATGCAGGGAGGGCCCCGGGCTGTGCGGATGGCTCTGCTGCAGTGGGGCTGGCCCGGCTCTGAGCTCAGTGCCTGGATTGCCTTACCTAATGCGGTAAGTGCCGTCAATAGCCCATTCCGCAGATGAGGAGACTGAGGCACCGGGAGTTAAGTCATTCACTCAGAGGCTCGCAGTGACTGATGGAGCCAGGTTTGAGCTCCAGCTCCCGGGACTTGGTGCCTGGAACTTTTCCTGAATATCGAACAGGCAGCTCTCAGGGGCCATAATGAGTGGCTCGGGCACAGCGGGAAGACAGCCCTGTGTGTGCGTGTGCAAACGTGCACTCCCAAGGGCATTACTGCCTTCTGAGTCCCCGTCAGAGAGGCCCCTCTGAAGGAGTCCACAGCCTGGGCTCGGAGAAGCAGCAGAGAGCCCCCTGTAGACGTTGGGCTACGGGAAAGCCCCTCCCGGCTTCTCTCAGGTCCCCCACGCAGGGAGGGAGCCCCCAGAATGACTAAAATAGGATTTCCCTTCCACCCAAGACAGATTCGATTTGACTTTTTACAACGTAACATTTGTGTCCCGAGTCCCATGGCCGGGCACACCATCTCTGTGTTTGTGGTCACAGCAACCTCACGAGGGGAGGCAGGTCTGCCATCACCCTCACTCCGAGCTCCAGGCCCCGTGGCGCAGCAGTGGGCTGAGGGGCTGGAGAAGCAGCCCACGCCTCAGATGCAAGCTGGGGGGCCAGCGAGGGGCACAGCGGTCGGCAGGAGGCAGGAACCACAGACCTGACGCCTGCAGGGCTGGGGAAGGCCCCAGCCCAGCGCCGAGGGGTATGTGACTGACCCAGATTCTGGGGCATCGAATGGGCCTGGCTTGAGCTCCTCTAATAAAATAAAAACTTGGGGTGGGGGGATTACAAAAGGAATTTATAATCAACACAGCAAATTTGAAAAGCATAGGAAAAAAATAAAGAAGAAAATTTCAATTGCCCAAGCAGAAACGCACTGTCCACGGCTTGGCGTATTTCCCACCTGCTTTCCTCTGCGTGTATTGTGCAGGCACGGTAATCCTGGGTAGGTAATTGTGTCATCTGCTTTCTTTCTCAGGTGACTCTCAGCAGCAGCCTCCCCGTCACAGTCAGTAGCGTGCACGCCTCCATTTGGAAGGACCCAGCACCGGTCTCTGTGCTCCACCTCGACAGTTCCCTTCAACTGAACAGGTCTGTTGTTTCTTATTTTCACACTTATGAGCAGCGCTGAGAGGAACATAATTTTTAAAAGATTTTACTTTTCTTATTGTCTTTTAAATTAAAAAAAAAGACTAGAGCAGAGTATACAGAAGACAGTAAGTATCTCTCCCGTCTTGATCCCCACTTCCTCAGCGTCCACGACAGCCCCTGGATCCTGGAGTCTGTGTCCCTGCCAATGCCCTGCTCACAAGAAAAACACGTCACACGCTCCTGCCGCTGTCCCCACACACATGCGGTCGGCTTTGTTCACCTCTCTCCGTGCCCTGGAGATGGTTTCCTCCTGGCACTCAAGATGAGCCCCGGCCGTCCATCGCAGGGCTGCGGAACCCTGCCTCCAACCAGCCAGCAGCGGCGGCCCAGCGGCTCTCCAGAGAAGGCGAGAGGCTTGGACGCGCAGCATCTGCCAGTTTCTCTGCTGTAAATTCTCCACCACGTCCGTGTCAAGCTGCCAACAATCTCACGGCTGGCTGGCAAATTTTCCTGAACATCTAACAATCATCTCTCTAGAGCCAGAATGAGCCAGCTCTGACACAGTGGACAGACCGTCTGTTTTTGGTATCGGGAAATTACTGCCTTCTGATTGACCCCAGATGTGGAATTTCTGGGTCCAAAGATACAAACATCTTTAAGGTGTTGATCCATTGACCCAGAAAGGCCAGCCAGTTTGCGTGCCTACCAGCCACGGCTGCCTGTGTCCATTTGTGCCTCCTCGCACTCAGGTAGTTTCCGGGTTTTAATCTTTGCTAGTTGGATGTGAAGTATCAGTGTCTTCTTATGGCTTTAATTTGCCAGTGGTGGCCAAGAAGACCTGGCTGCAGGGGTGGATGAGACCCTCAGCCCTGCACCTCCCTGCTGGACAGGGCAGTAGGGCGGTCTGTGCAGAGGCTGGGGGCGAGGGTCAAAATGACTTTGACAGTCAGCCCTGCCCGCGAACCGCAAACAGGGAAGTCAGGGCCCTCACAGGTCTCTGATGACCATTCCCAATGCCTGGCCTGCTGGCCCTGGACGCTGCAAGCTTGTGTCCCTGCCCACACTCAGAAGGAAGCCCATGTGCGTATATGTGTGTACACGTGTGTGGTGTGTGTGCATGTGTGTGTGTTTGGGGTGGGGACGGGGAGGCATTTTCAAATGCTCCTGGTTTATAAGCTTCCGTCCCCTGCACAGTATCTAAGCACTTGTGAGCTCCAAGGGGAGGCCATTCTGGCAACAGCTGTGCTAGAGGAGACCAGCTCTGATGCCGGACACAGACCTGCCAGAGCCCGCTCTGTGCCGAGCACTGTTCAGAGCCCAGTGAGGTGCTGTTTTCATCCATGTTACAGAGGAGGAAACTGAGGGTCAGAGAGGCTAAATAACTGCCTGAGGTCACATAGCAGGGCAGGACAGAGCCAGGATTCAAAGTCCAGACCAACTCCAGGACCTGTGCCCCTAAACGCCATGCCTCATGAGTCTGATGCCCCAGGCTCTGGATCGGACATAGTGGGGTTCCAGCCCCAGCTGCCTCATCTTCTTGTGATGCGGCTTCATGCACATGCAGTGGAAGGGCATCGGGAGGGGGGCACGCAGATGGAGCTGCCTCACCAGGGGGGACCAGCGGAGGCCAAGAGGGGCCCAGTAGCATGAGTAGTTCCTGCACTGCCCTTAGAACAAGGAGAGATGGGGAGGCAGCGGGGCCTTGGGAATGTCTCTTCATCTGTGCCTCAGTTGGACTTCTTGTTTGCAAGAGACAATCCCAGCTCAAGACTGCTTAGGCCAACCAGAGAACAGGTCAGTTCATACGACCCCGAGTTGAGGCACGGCTGAACCAGGGGTGCCCCACCGGGCACTCACCTGGGAAGGGACCGGGGTCCCCTGAGCCCCGGGCACTCGCCTGGGAAGGGACGGGGGCCCCCCGAGCCCCGGGCACTGGCCTGGGAAGGGACGGGGGCCCCCCGAGCCCCGGGCACTGGCCTGGGAAGGGACG